AGCCTCCCAAGCATTGGGATTACAAGCATGTGCCACCATGCCTGGTCTTGGTGGCCTGCACAGCACAACATGTGGTGCCAGGGATCGAACTCATTTCCTTGGCTTTCCAGGCAGGCCTTTAGACTGCTGAGCTACCACCCTGGTTCTTGAAACTACTTTGTAATGTATGATTTTTATGGAGAATCACATGGAAGCAGACACACACTGAGGTCATTCCAACCATGCAGAGTTCATCGGAGAACCAGTTCTTCCCCTCTTCTATCTCTTCTCCCATGCACTCAATAGCTGAGCTCTGCCCACCATGAGCAAGTCCTAGAATATTCCTAGGACTGAGAAACTGGCTGAACGATGCACACAAATGGACACTATAGCACAGGACACAGGGCCTGGGGTTGCTGCTACACACAAGGGCAATGTGCAGAAGGAAGTAGCTAACGTCATCCTGGGGGTAGGATGGAGCTCAGCCATCTGGGGTGTGTGAACAAGGAAGGGCTTGGCACTCTGGAATCAGGACTAGCAAGTGGCTGAAATGGCCGAGGCAGAAAGTCGTGGGAGCACACATTGAAGCCATGAGATCCACAGGAAAGTCTTGTGTGACCTGCAGATAAACTGAGAGTTGAGGAAATGGTACCTGGTGGAGACAGGAGTCACATTACAGACACCCCTAACTGCCCCCAGAAGAGCCTGGTAGTGGGTCTTGTGATTGTCAATCTATATTTGATGGTTGCTATGGTAGCAAGGACCCAGAGGACAGAAATGCATAAGGAAATCATGACAATAGCCAGGTTTAAAGGAAGATCTGCACCAGGGCCAGTAGCAGGTGGAATGAAAACCAGCGGCATGGAGGAATTCTGATTGTGTCTAGGAGAGCAGCCGCTGGACCCCAGAGAGAGGATCACAACATCCCATAAAGACAGTGCAAGACTGAAGACGCTCAGAAGGCCTGCCAGTTCCCACACCCTGACCCATCCACACACTCACACTACCAGCTCTCTCAGTAATGGCTCAGCCTAAAATCTGTGCTTGTTTGTGCTCTTGAATGTGGTTTTGACTTTCAAAGTTGCACGAACAATCTGACACTCTCAGAGCTGTGGGCAGGCAGTGTGTGCTTCATTTGTTAGATCAAGAGGGATGCTGTGGTTCTTGGAGATAGTCAAGTCTCCCTTGGTAGGATTTTCAGGTATAGGTGTGCAGCTGTGCAGCTGCAGGTGAATCTTAGCATTAGCATGTTTTATGTATTGTGTAGGATGTATTTACCCTACAATAACTGTCACCTATCTCAAAGTATAATAGAACCGAGAAGGCTGTGCTTTTATTTGCTACACCTGGCAACACCATTCCTGAGTTTTGCCTGCCTTGTGCTGTACCCTCTTGCCACCAAGCATACAGCTTCAGGGGAATCAGAAGGTGAGGAGGAGGCTCTGGGGTATTTGAGAGTGCAGAGGTTTATGGGGTCATCATCAGTCTGACCCGCAGGCCTGAGCACCATCGAGGAGAATCTGAAATCTGAAAATAGTGCACTTGGCACTGAGCAAAGAGCTGACATGTCCAATGAGTTTGTGAGGGGAGAATAATGGAATTTAGAGTAACTGATTGGCTAAACCAACTTGCAGTATGTATATAGTAAAACACTCTCAAGTTTCTCATTGCATGAAGAGGACACTGACAGCTGTATAATGGATGGATGACAAGAGCTTTCTTAGGCAGCTCACAAACAGTAGCCTTCTGTAATCATTTTTGGTTTTTCTGTACATACACAGCGTGAAGGCCAAATTAACTTTAGGAGTATTTATTTGGTGCTAGAAATTTAAGACACTGTCTCTATTCACAGCTAATATTTCATCAGCATGTATCTGCTGGACCAAATTAAGTTCAGAACTCATGTTCACATAAAATAATAATTGGGTTATAAAACGCCTCAGGCATGGCAATTATTTTAATATTTATTATTAAACGAATCATGTTTATTTAGAAGAACATCAATGATCAAATTGTATGAAATTGCATTTTTCCAGAAAGTTAAATGCATAGTCTGCATACCAAAGAAAACTTTTAGCAAGAGTTACAATGATAAGCTTCCTTCTGAAATCTTGTGATTTCACACAAGAAAAAATCTCTCCTGAAGGTGAGTAAGAGATGAAGCTGTGACACATTAGAGTCAGCATCATTAGTTTGCTTTCCTCTTTCTAATCAAATGATAAAAACATTTCCTTGATAGTTTTTTTTTTCTAGGAACAAACAATGTTCTAAATACAAGTGAAATCAATCAGCTTCAAGCCATGAACTTTCTGTGGAATGAAAATGCTGCCAATTTCAATTAGTTAAACTTCACATTCTCCTTCACAGATGAACCGAATAGCGAACTTGCTGGGTTTCCTGGTAATCAAGAACCGGTGTAAACCACATCTATTGAAGAGATGCCCCCCTCATGCACTTATGCACCCTGGTGTATTTATGATGGCAGAGGGGCTGGAGAAAGCCCAAAGCGTGGGACAGTGCTTGCTGGATGTTCTACTGTCAAGCCCAAGGATCATTAGTACACATTGCCTCCAGGAGCAAGAGCAGAAACGACTGCTTTTCTTTCTACTCCAATATTTTCAAACACTTAAACTTTTTACATTGCAACTTCAAATGAGCCAAATATACAACCTCAAAGGTAAACTTTGAGTTATGAAATCAGAGCATCTTATACATTCTTAAAGAGTTAGAAAATTGGGTTTTAGCTTTTCTCTGTTGTCTTCAGTTAGACTGGAGAGCAGGTATCCCCTGTTGGAAAACTTATTAGCTCCTTATACCATTTCAGAAACTCCCTATTTCATCTTGTTTTTCAATTATTTTATAATCTTTTCAGCTTTCCTCTGAATTTTTTTTTAGAGAAAGTAGGAACTTTCCAAGTGAGACAAAAGCCAACTGTGTAGATCGCGTGTTTTATTTCTTCCTTTTGTTTATGCTCAGTTCCAGGCAGCTCCGTGCCGTCTGGCTCCCTGTTACTATTCTGAGTCCTAGATCTTCCCTCTTGCTTTATAACTTTCAAGGTCATTTTCCATTTTGTCTTTTTGAAAGCCTACATGAGTGTGTGTGAGTGAAATAAAAATTAATAGCTGTGGCAGAAATGTGTGTGTGAAAACATAGGCATGTATTTATGTATATCCTGCTAATAACTAATAATTTTGAGAAAAATAGGCATGGACTTTATCTAAATGTTTTCTGAATGTAACTCTTATTGTAAGAAAGCTGGAAGCCTGCAGTTTTTAAATCTGCACACTTTTGTGTGTATGGAAAATATCGCTGAGAAGCTAATGTGAACTAGATTATTTTCATTTATTTAAAAGTAGATTCTTTTCATTTGTTTAAATGGCTCTGGGTTCAGGTTGGGGGAGAGAGAACTGCAATTATTCAAGGGAAACAAGGAGAATCAGATGGCTTTGTTATGACTGTACAATGGATTGCTAATTTCACTGCAAATTAACTGTTTCATTCACTGATTATATGACTAAGAATGCTAGTTAACTCTCAAGGATGGCAAAAATGTCACACAAAACCTAAGTAATTCACTAAGTTGATTGCTTAGTAATTCAACAAGTAATCAACTAAGTGAAGTCCAAAGACTGTCAGAGTCCACTTATGATTCAGGTAACTTAAGAAACATGGCAAAAAAGGAAAGAAAAATGTAAAAATGACCCAATAAATTTTAAGTTCTATAATTATAGAAAACCAGAAAACATTATAGAACTTACAAATTTACTTCTGTTTGATGTTGTATCTGTCACAAATTACATATATATA